TCATATTTGGACAGAGCAGACTGCAAGCAACACAGGGAGGAAGAGGGTTAGGGCAGCAGGTCTCAGCACTCAAGCACAGCCACCGTGCACAACAGCTCCTGTAAGTTCTGACCACCTGAATTCACCAACATGTGCTCAAAAATGGAGTTTCCAAGTGAGAAAGGGAAAGACTGGAGTTAAAGACGAGCTCGCAGGAGTTAAACCCCTCAGCAGTTACGTACAATGCCAGTGCCCTGGTTCTCAGAGCCGGGGACACAAGTGCCACTGAGCTGCTCTCACCAGTGATTCTCACAACTCTAAGAACTTTGGACAACTCATGTCCTGCCATGGGGACACCCATCGGTCTGCAAGCTGGGCTCTCGGTCTCGTCACCATCAGACTCCTTGGAAAACAGAGATGAAGGAGGATATCAAGCCCCAGCTGTGCTCTCAGACACTAGGAAACTGGTTTTACCGCCAACTCCAGACCCACAGTCCCTCTGAGTTTGGGTATTTCCCACTTACATCCTCCAACAGCCGTCCTTCCACCCGCAGCTCCCAGGAGGCGACGGTTCCTTCGCCATCCTCCGCGTCCGACTTGGCGGGGTTGAAGGTGTTGGAGATAAAAATCCGCAGCTTTCGCTTTTGCTAGGAGGAAAAACGTCAGCTAATTAACAATCAGTTAATTCTCCTGCACAGGGCCAACTGTGCTGCACAGGCTTTGCTCAAACTGAGCTCAATGCTCTCAGCTGCCTCGCACTCCCCTCTCCTGGAGCACACAGCAAGGACAGAGGGGCTGCTGGTCCCAGTCCTTGGGATCTGCCACCCTCACAGCACACAGCCCTTCAGTGCCCTCCTGCTGCCTGAACTCAGGAGCCTGCAGAGCCTGGATACAAGGCATGGACCCCCCTACCTTGATGGGGCGCTTCAGAGCCTCCTGGATATCCAGGCGCTTCCTCATGATGGTCTGGTCCAGCTTCCTCTCGAAGGCCAGCAGGTCCATGTAGGCCTGGGACTCGGGCACGAGCTCACGGATCTGTGGCCAGGCAAGGATGGAAATGCCCATCAGCTCCCCAGGCAGCCTCACCTCCCCCCGAGCCCCTCCCCGTGTCCCACTCACCCGCTGTGGGAGGATTTTATCTGCCATCTTCTTCTTCTTGGCACTGACAGGGGCAAGAGGCAAAGGAGGCGTGAAAATGGGAACAGCTCTGGGTACAAAAAATCACAAATCTGCAGCTCCCCAGTTACCTGGGCCCTGCTCAGTGTGGCTAACTGGTTATCTCAATGCTCCCCACCCCTCTGAGCACTCACAAAGGGAATTACATCTGTTGGGAAGGAGGTTCATCCCTTGGGAAGGAGGACCTGACACAGCACCCACACCAAGTGATCCTCCTGCCTCAATCAACTTTGGGTTGGCTTTTCCAAGAACAGCATTTTAATCCAGGATGAATTTCATTCTCAATAGGGGATCACCCCAGGATGCAGGCACGTGACATAAACTCAGCCCTGCCCAGCGTTATCCTCCAGTGCCAGGGGAATGCACAAGGACCTGACAGGATCCTTCAGCCCCTAAATGCTGAAGGATGGCCGAGAACTCCAGAATCCTTGAGGTTGGAAAAGCCCTTCCCGACCCTTGACTCCAACCTGTGCCATTCCCCACCTTGTCACCAACCCAGAGCACTCCGTGCCACATCCATCATTCCTTGAAAACCTCCAGGGATGGGAACTCCACCACCTTCCTGGGCAGCTCCTTCCAAAGCCTGGCAATTTCCATAAAGAAATTCCTCCCGACGCCCACAACAACCCAGGGGATGTTGCTGCCGCCCCGAGATGCTCCCATTGTCCGAGATGTCCCCGTTACCCCGGGATGTCCCCGTTACCCCGGGATGTGTCCTCTCCCCGTGCCCCCCGTGCCTTACTTGTGGTTGCGGTTGGGCACCGCCTGCGGCTGCACCTGCTGAAGCTGCTGCGG